CTCCGACTCAGCCGAAGCTTCACCACCCAGAACCCTCCAGGTCACCGAGGCTCCGTCACGGTCGGACCCGGTGCTCCGGGCTGTCCCGGGAACTCAGCGTCCTCCGTCCCCGGCGCCCGGCCTCGGGGTCACTTCAGTCCGGCTGGACAGCCCCACCCATGCCTTTCCTCAGCCAAGCGGGGTGCAGAGCAAGACCCCGTATCGTCTCTCTGAGCAGCAGGAAGGACTGAGCCCAGGGCACAGGGTTCTGCGGGGGCCACAGCCTCGCAGCTGGCACGTCACACCGGGTCCTCTGGGGTTTGCCAATGAGGCGAGGCGGCGTCCGCGGGAAACTCGGGAAACTCGGCGAGGGCCCTGCCTGTGCGCTGCCGGGAGTTACAGTTGGGCTGGGGGAGCCGTAGGAGGCTCCTCTGGAGCCAGGGCGCCCGGTGGATCGAGTTCTGGCCGGTAACTGGCTCCCTTGGAGCGAGTAGGTGGGTCCCGTTGGCGGCCTCCCTCCCCCCTCTGACCAAGTGTGTTCTGGAGGGAGGTAGTCCAAGTTCTCCGAGAAGCAGACACCCGGCAGACAAACTGTGACCGACGGACAGACAGACAGAAGGGGATGCAAGGCGGGTGGGGGCCCGGGGGTCCCAGGCCTGACCCTGTGTGGCTGTGGGGGCAGCACTGGGTCGTAGTGGCCTCCGAGGGAGGTGGCCAAGTTGTAACCAGCACCCGTGTGAGGACCAGCTCCCCGGGTCCTTGGTGGCTCTCCGGCACCCACAGGCTCTCCCTCCCCCGCAGACGCCCAGCAGGTTGTAAAGCCTTGGGGACTGTCCCGGGGCAGCAGCCCTGCAGCCAGGGGTGGCACAGGCAACGGGGGAGCCCAATGCGGCTGCATGGCCACCTCCCCCGCACTGGGCTTCACTGCACCTCTGTCCTCAGCACCTGGGCACGGGCGGGCAGCCTTCACGCCCATCACAGCCCTCAGACCATCCCGTGCTGGGGCCACGTACCTGGTCCCCCACACAGGCTGACCCCTGCTCCCAGCCTCCATCCAGCGCGGGTTGGTCCCTTCTTGGGCCAAACCTGGAGCTCAGGGTGGGCAGGCGGTCTCCATCCTGGCCCAAGCGCCGGCACACTGCCCTCGGCCTTGGTCCCAGGTGGGGACAGCACG